CCCGTCTCCGGTTTCCCCGCAACTTGGCGCTCCGCGCTCCAGCCAGCCGCCTGTCTCGGCCGGGCTGCCTCCTCCCGTCCGCCTCGGGCTGCCTCTCCGCCGTCCCCCTCCACACCCCCGAGCCGTCGGGCCCGGCTTCGTCCCGGGGCGCACTCGTCCCCCACGCCTCTGCCCGCGGTGGGACCCCTCAGGGTCTCCTCACGAGCCACCCCCCGAACGGACCCCCAACCCCGCCCGTCAGCCTCTCCCCCGCGGCCTCTTCCTCTCCCTCGAAGCCTCCTCCATCCATCCCGACCCCGTCCCTCCTCCCTCTTCCCACCCTCCTTCCCCCTCACTGGCCGGCACCCTCCCCCAGCGCCCCTTCCCCCAACTCACTGGGCCTCGCCGCTCGGCCTCTGTCGCAACAGAGCAGCTCCTGGGGCTCGTCCGCGTGCGGCCGGCTCGCCAGCCAATCACAGGCCCGCGCGGCTCTCGGCGCGCCGCCGCTCAGACTCCTGGGAAGTGTCGTCCTGGAGTCGCAGTCGCGGAGGCTGCGAACACTCGCCGAGAACTACTGCGTATCCCAGGGGCCTCCCGGGCCGTGGCGTCATCACGATGCGCGGGGCCGGCGAGCAGATTAGAGTCCAAGAGTCCGTTGCCAGCAGGAGTGCGCCGGCCGCCGGAAACTGCAAATCCCAGCCTGCTGCTGGGACAAACCGTCTGGGTCCGCCAGGCTCTACGCGACTCGGAAATCTGTTATGTGGAGATACCGAGTTGACAGGGCCTCCCTACCGGCTTGTGCAGCGGGCCGAGCGACTACACTTCCCAGATGGTATCAGGCGGGAACGGGTCGAAACAATGAGCCGAGAAGAGGAGGGAGGTGGAGAGAGAAGGAGGAAAGGAGAAGCGGTTGCGAAGAACAGAAACATTTCCTGCATGGAAGAAGGGCGCCCTCATTTCTTGAAACCGAGATTTAAGAGGCTAGTCCAGCGTTAACCAAATTTTTATACAGAAGGTGCCGATCATTGTTCCCAAAGCTTGGCCGCTTAGCCTACCCACTGCAGAATTGTTAGGTTTCCATCGGAACCATGTCAAGTTTGATGGGAGAGCCCTGAAATGAAAAACAAGACCCCTTTTCCGAGTGTACCTTTATCATCAGTTAGCCATGTGACCTCGCCCGTTACTTTTCCTTTGAGCCTCACTGTTAAAATCTCTCACAGACTCCTCATCGCCTACGTTGTAAATCCCAAATTTGTAGCCTCAAATGCAAGGCACGCTTTTTGTGATCCTTGTTAACGTCTCCACGCTCCTGACCGGCAGTGACTCACCATCAGTGACACAGCTGGAGGGAAGCCAGAGAGCTGATACTCCCCCTGAAGCTTTAAAAAAGACCAAAAAACAAAAACAAAAAAAAACCCCAACCCTCATTCCTCCACCCATAGAAGCAGTTTTCTTCGTCAAACTAGATGCTCAAATGGAATCTACCTACTTGTATTTCAGGTAATCCATGTATTTCGCACTTTCATGCCTTGAGCATATACCTTTTCTTTTTCTAGAATACCGTCCACCTATTAAGTGCCCACTGTATGTCAGGCTCAGAGGTAGATGCCAGAGTTACAATGGTTGTAAGTCATTCCCTAACCTCGGGGAGCTCACAATTAAGAAGGAATACTTAGCCCTGGCTGGCGTGGTTCAGTGGATTGAGCCCCAGCCTGAGAACTGAAAGGTCACCAGTTCAATTCCAGGTCAGGGCACATGCCTGGGTTTTGGGCCAAGTCCCCCAGTTGGGGGTGTGCGAGATGCAGCCAAACAGTGTTTCCCATCCCCTCTCTCTAAAAATAGATAAATAAAATCTTTTTTTTTAAAGAAGGAACCTTTAAAAAGTAAACAAACCATGGCATTTAGGTGTTAAATGCCTTAAAAGAAGTGACTTCTCTGTGCTGCTGGAGTTCCTAGGTGGAGACCTCACTTGACATAGCGTAACCAAGAGCATGAATTCTGGGAAAAAACTGCCTACATTGAAACCCCAGTGCTATCATTTACAGTGTGTGACCTTGGGCAAAATAATGACGATAGTGCTTACCTCGCATGGTTGTTAAAGAGTTAAATTCTTGTTAATTGGCTAATTATTACTTAGCCAGAGTTCTGCTAGGCTGCTTCTTGCCTTTTCTGCTACTAGTAGAATCCTTGCCTAAGTATGCATTAGATATTTAATACATTTAACAAATAGTAGGCATCTCCCTTGGGCAGAGGTATTGTTTTAAGTGAAGAATATAGACTATAGTTGACTGCAAAGCCTTTCTTTATGAAGCCAAGAAGTTATATATGATGTGGATCCCATGAAATCACTGTTCCAAGCACCGAGCCTCCTGGGACCACTGTCTACAATATGCCTCCCTCTCCCAGTCTCATTAAAATGTGTTGTTACAGGCAGGTTACAGGTTACCGAGAACTAACATTTATTATATTCTTTCATTTATGCAATTCCATTTAATCCCCCCAACAAACCTGAGGTAGGTATTATTACCATTTTTACAGATTGGAAACAAAGGCACAAAGCTGTTAATAAAACAATACTTGGGGAGGAGACAGTGGCAGGGTTGGGGCTGGCATTTTCTGGTTCTAAAACTCCAGCCCTGTAAAATGGCTCAGGATAGCAAGAGAAAGACTATATCCAGTTAGGAAGTCACCTACACAGCAACCAATCAGGTCCAGGATATCCCATGAATCAACAGTTGCCGGGCAGTCTTCCCTCAGCCCAGCTAGTGGCTTGGAAGCCTTGTGGGCCACTTAGAAGTTTTGCCATTCTTGCCCAGGGTTCAGATACCTTGTGGGGAACAGATCTGGGGATAAGGGGAGAAGAAATGGGGAAATGGGAAGGAGAGAGATGTGGGTAGAAGAGGGGAGGAATGGCTAAATGTGAAAAATCACAGAAGGCCACTTGCTGGAAGTGAGAACATTTGGTCTGGACGCTTCATTTAAATATGAAGAAACTGAAACCCAAGGAAGGAAACGTCCCATCCAGAATTACCTAGAAACTCAGTGAGAAGGGTCTGAAATTGTGCTGTTAATGTGGTAGCCCCTAGCCACGTGTGACTATGGAGCACTTGAAATGTGACTAGTCCAAACTGAGATAAGCTAAAATTGCCAAATATGCATTGAATGTCAAAGATTGCATGTGGGGGGGGGAAATAATGTAAATTACTTCTATTTTTTATATTGATTGCATGTTGAAATATTTTGGATATATTGATACAGTCATAAAACATATACCAAAACATTTAATTACATATATGACTCACATTTGTGGTTCCCATTATATTCCCATTGGACAATGCTGAGCCGGAAACTTATCATCCATTCTTGAGGTGAGTGTCCCTACTCTGCTTCCCAGAAACTCTTCTAACAAGTCATTCTTTTACAACCTTTTATGTGCCAGTGGCTGAGAGGAGATCAAACTGTGGTCTAACTGAGGATAAGACCAAAACACAGCAAAAGATAACAGTGCTGCCAAGTTCTATCTTATGTACTTCCTAGAATGACAGTCCTTTACCAGCTCTGGTGTTCCCTTTCCATAGCGAACAATTTTTATGACACCTCCTTTACTGTTTTGAGATGAAGCTCGTAGATGGAAAACCTAACTACACACATAAGTTTCAAAAAACTAATAGTGTCTTAACCGTAACAGAAGAAAAGAAAATCCTTTCTAATAAAATGACGTTTCAGTATGCCAGAAAACAGCACACCTATACGTAGGATCACCCTGGGTATGAGAGTACAAATGCAGACAGAACACCACGAAGGGCATTGCCATCCCTCTTGGTAACTCTTTAGTAAATGCCTGAGCAAAAGAAAGTACAGCCTTCCTTCCATTTACCTGATAGTTACATTCCTGGAAAACACAGCACGTTACAACCTGGCAAATGTACTTCATCCTTACAGATAAAACACAGGCTCAAGATCAATGATTATGACTGGTTGGTTTTGTTTCCTTTTTTTTTTCCCCACTTACCTGAATGTTCAGTAGGACACTTGAAAGCCCGTGGGACAGACTATTCTTTCTTGTGTGATACTATCTTACAATGTACAAGACATCTAGTACTCTTGGCTCCTCCCTTCATCCGTTTGACAAAAAAAAAAAAAAAAAAAAAAAAAAAAATTTGTCCCTGTACATTTCCAAATCTCCCCCTAGCGGTGGGCCATCCTGGTTGGGAAGCCGCAGCGGTTATCAGTAGTCTCTGCCCGGCCCCAGCCTCCCCTGGGCCGTTCCCTTCCCCGACCAGGCCTTAGCTGCCCTGGCCTTCCCAGCTCTCTGGGCTAACCTCTCCTCTTCCTGAGCCTCCTGTGCTCTGCCCTTTTCCTGGAAAGCCCACTTTTTTGCTTGGGTAACTTACTGAAACTTTGGGTGTCTTATGCCCTATTTCCCAGCCTAATTCTTCCTGTCATGTTTTCCCCCTGGACTCGATGTTTCCGCACGGGTCCTTAGGACAGTTTCGGATTTCTACCCCAGTTCATACTTGGCTAGTCAGTGGGAGTTTAATGCCCGTGTCCGTCCGTCAATTCTCAGCTCCCGGAGTGCAGGGGCCACGCCCACCTCGTCCAGGCCGGTTGACCTGGGCGGAATCCTTCATTTCGGCCTGGAACTTAGTAAGGCGAACGACAAGCAGTTCTGAAACAACTGAGCGGACGACGGGGTTCCGAAAGAAGCCCGGGAGGCCGAAGCGTGATCACTGAGGCGGAAGGTTTTTTTTCCTCCCCAGGGCAGATGGGAGTTGAAATGGGAGACTTGGGGTGCCTTCGGGTCCACTGCAAGCAGTGTCTGCGGACTGCACGCTTGCGCCTGGGAGGCGGGGACCGCTGGGCGGACCACGTCACCCTGCGGCTGGTCCGCGGTGCCGAGAAGGGGCGGGGCGACCATAGAGAGGGCACCACGTAGCGAGCGGCCGGATGCGGTCACCATAGAGACGGGGACTGACAGCGAACGGAAGAGGAAGGAGGGGGCAGGGCTGTGAGGTGGCAGCGGCAGCAGCGGCGGAACCGGCGCCTCGGCCGGGCACTGGGGTCTGCTGCTCCTTCCTCTCCCTTCCCCCTGCGAGAGACGACAGGGGCGCCGCTCTGGACGACAGGAGCAGGTCCCACCCCCACGCCCTCGCCCCCGCTCCCCGGCACGGCGCTGGTCGTGGCGATCACATCCTTTGTCCGTCCGCCCCCCTGGCCCTGCTGCAGGGGCCTCCCGGCGCGGGCCTCGGGGTGTCCTTTGTGGCCCGTCGTCCGCAGGCGCAGGCAGGGCTGTGGCCCCCGCTGAAGGGCCTCAGCACGGGGTCTTGGCCCTACCCTGCCAGCTCCGCCGCCGGAACGAGCGGAGCTGAGTCCCCAGCCCCTCGGCAGCTCCGTGACGCAGCCGGTTTTATTGTGTTTTGAGGCTACCGGCTAAAAGTCGCTTTGAGCCTTCTTTCCAGGGCTGGAATTGGTCTGCGATCGCTGAGAGAGAGAGAGAGAGCAGGGGGGCCGGGCCTGGCACGGCAAAGCCGCAGCCCGCCGAGCCTCGGTCTGCTTTTCCGGGATCCCTGCGCGGCCTCTCGCTGCTTCTCGTCGTCTCGGTCTGGTTTGGTTTGGGTACCTGGGACCCCGGTAAAAGCAGACACGGAATGGCTCTTCCACAGCCAGAGTTACTGTCATTTGCCTCCTGTCTCCTGTAAGAGGGAGGTGTGGGCAGCAGCGGGCTCTCAGCATCTGGGATTGGGAGAAGGACGTCCAGCTCGATGTCTCCATCAGCCACCGTGCGCCTCTGAGAGGCTCTCAGTGTCGGACCCCCTACCTGCCCACCTCATGCGGTGGCCAGAACTCCTGGGTGCCATGCCAGGGGCTCCGGACCACTCCTGACTGGGAGGAGGGGTTACTCCAGCCCTGTGTTTCCTCAACACTGGGGAGCAGAGCAGAAAGGGGCCCTGATCTGTCCCCCAGCAGCCCTTTCAGTAAATTGAGTAAGAAATGTGCCCAGGGCCGGTCGCTCTTAAGGAAAGACCTATTGGGGTAGCTCCTCTAGTGGAGCCCCGGTTCTGACAAGGCATGTACTTTCCCCCTAACCTCTTCTTCAGAAGTTGTTGCTGGCTCTTGACTTAGTCTCCAGATGTGTGTAGTCCTACTTTGGGGGTTAGGTTTGGCAGGATTGAGTTTTGTTTCCTCCCCTTTCCGCTGGAAGACAGAGCTTAAGCCATTGATGGGCGACATTGACTCTAATATCACCATTGGGACTGAGGGTTAGATCCGGCACTTGGACGCCTGAAGGCCAGGCAGACAGGATCGTGAAGACAGGACAGTCCAGCTGACGGGGGATGCTGGGCCTGGAAGCGAACACGGCTTGCTCTGTTGCTGACCTCCCTGGCCCCAGGTTCCCCGGTTAAAACCGCAGGCCCACTGCTGGCCTGGCGCCCATCAACCCACCGATCGGTCCGCGAGGCCGTGCCCTCCGGGCTCGCACACGGCAGAGCCCACCACCATGCGCCTGAGCTCCCTGTTGGCTCTGCTGCGCCCAGCACTGCCCCTCATCCTGGGGCTGTCCCTGGGATGCAGCCTGAGCCTCTTGCGGGTTTCCTGGATCCAAGGTGAGGGAGAAGATCCCTGTGTAGAGGCTGTGGGGGAACCGGGAGGGCCGCAGAACCCTGACTCCAGAACTCGGCTTGACCAAAGCGATGAAGACTTCCAACCCCGCATTGTCCCCTACTACAGGGATCCCAACAAGCCTTACAAGAAGGTGCTCAGGTGAGAGCTGCGTGTGTACGTAGTCCCCTGACCCCACTGTCGGGCTGCTCCAAGTCCCCGCCTCTGCCTTCCCTGATATTCCGTTAGGCTCCTTGCAGTAATTCATACCATCATGGTTTGTTTCTATTTTTTTTCCCTCCTCCGCAGTCTAAGAAAGTCTCACCCATTGGTGTTACATTAGTGTTGGATGTTCTCAACTAGGGTAGGAATTGCATTGACTTCATCTGATCCACCATTAGTAGACCCCTCCCCAAATCAACTCTCGTGTCAGCCATTCAGAAGATGCTTCCTTCAGCAACTAATTAATAGTGATGAGGAAGTCTCTTGCTTCTCTTTTCTCACCTCCAGTTCTCTCAGTCTAGGACGATGTATATGCTACACAAGCTGGGTTCCTAGAAATGAGGGAGTTAACCCTTGACATGCTGGCCTCTCCACAGGACTCGGTACATCCAGACAGAGCTGGGCTCTCGGGAGCGGCTGCTGGTGGCTGTCCTGACCTCGCGGGCCACACTGTCCACTTTGGCTGTGGCCGTGAACCGCACAGTGGCCCACCACTTCCCTCGGTTACTCTACTTCACTGGGCAGCGAGGGGCCCGGGCTCCAGCGGGGATGCAGGTGGTGTCTCATGGGGACGAGCGGCCGGCCTGGCTCATGTCAGAGACACTGCGCCATCTTCACACACACTTCGGGGCCGACTACGACTGGTTCTTCATCATGCAGGACGACACATATGTGCAGGCGCCCCGCCTGGCAGCGCTTGCCGGCCACCTCAGCATCAACCAGGACCTGTACTTGGGCCGCGCGGAGGAGTTCATTGGCGCGGGCGAGCAGGCCCGGTACTGCCACGGCGGCTTCGGCTACCTGTTGTCACGGAGCCTCCTGCTCCGACTGCGGCCGCATTTGGATGGCTGCCGAGGAGACATCCTCAGTGCCCGGCCCGACGAGTGGCTTGGCCGCTGCCTCATCGACTCTCTGGGTGTCGGCTGTGTCTCGCAGCACCAGGTGACGGCCCCTTCCAATCAGCCCCAGTCCCTGGCAGCTTAGTGGCGACGGAGGGCACGGTCTCCAGGCCGGGTGCTGCCGGCCCCTTCCCTGCAGCACCTCGGAGCCGCTGCTTGGCTCTTCCCAGGCCGAGTGCCCCTCTGGCTGCTGCTCGCCTTGGGCGGTCTTAGACCCAGGGGCTGTCAAAGTCAGTGGCCCTGTGAGCAGGGCAGAAAGGTGTTTTCTATTTGTCAACCCCCCCATCTGCCCCCACCCATTGCCCCCTCCCCCACCATATGCAGTTTCGTACAACCTGGGAATGTTCTAGAGATGGCCGCTCTCCTGGAGGGCTGCCTCGAGAGGGACTGGCAAAGAGGAGAGGAAGCCGGCACCTTAGGAGTGCTTCCTGGCTCCTGGCGTGCGTTTTCTGGAGAAACCCGGCGGGGGGGGGTCCCTGGGGGAGAGAGCACCCTCAGTTGCCTGCTGCATATTCTTCTTTCCAACATCCGATGGTGAGGCCAAGGCCAAGGTTAAAGGGACACTGGATGGAGCTCCAGTTCCCTCGCCCTTCCGCAGCAGCGGCAGTGGTAGGGGGTGAATGCTGGGCTGGTTGGGGTGCTTGGGACCGGCGGCCCTCTGTGCAGCATTGACTGGTCTGATTGGTCCCTCCAGGGGCAGCAGTACCGCTCATTTGAACTGGCCAAAAACAGAGACCCGGAGAAGGAGGGGAGCTCGGCTTTCCTGAGTGCCTTCGCAGTGCACCCCGTATCCGAGGGGACCCTCATGTATCGGCTCCACAAGCGCTTCAGCGCGCTGGAGCTGGAGCGGGTGTACAGCGAAATAGAGCAACTGCAGGTGAGCGAGGAGGGCGGGGTCCCAGCACGCAGGCGGCTGAGAGGGGAGACTGGTGGGGTGGAAGGAGGCTGACCGCACCTAAGTTTAAAGCAACCCCAGAGAGGAGGGGCCCCTGGGTCCAGGTCAGTCAGCGTATCAGCTCCTGGAAAGACTTGGATGCAGTTAGAAGGGGTTGCAGGCGAGCCCTGAGGCTCAGGACTCGGTATGGTGCTTGGGATAGTTCCAGCCCCTCTCCAGCGGTGCCTCCACGGAGGACACAGCTACCCCCAAGTCCCCGAACTTCTAGCGCTGTCCTTAAAAAACCCGAGGGTGGAAGAATATTCTAGTTGACTGTGGAGCTGTCAGAGAGGAAGTACAGGTGAACACAAAGGTCCTGTTCTCAGGAGGATGGGCGTACTCTGGGTAAGGGAGGGAGAGGCCTCCGGGCTCCTTCGATTAGGGGATGCCTTACCGTCCTCGGTCAGCCAAAGCTGGTTCTGCCCCCGCCCCGCCGCGGCCTCACTGCACCTCAGATTCAGACGCCTACTGCGTTTACAGACAGTGAATGGAAGGTGCAGAGAGTGGGGTGATTGGCCAAGGGGCACCCGGCTACGTGTCAGGACGGAGCCCGGAGCCCGGGACGGGGCGGGGCCTGAGTACCCAGCCGAGCGCTAACCACGTGTCCCTCCGCCCCTAGGCGCAGATCCGGAACCTGACCGCGCTGACCCCCGAGGGGGAGGCTGGGCTGAGCTGGCCCGTGGGGCTGCCGGCCCCGTTCACTCCGCGCTCTCGGTTTGAGGTGCTGGGCTGGGACTACTTCACAGAGCAGCACATCTTCTCCTGTGCAGACGGGGCACCTAAGTGCCCACTGCAAGGGGCCAGCCGGGCAGATGTGGGCGACGCGGTGGAGACGGCTCTGGAGCAGCTGAATCGGCGCTACCAGCCCCGCCTGCGCTTCCAGAAGCAGCGGCTGCTCAACGGCTACCGGCGCTTCGACCCGGCGCGGGGCATGGAGTACACCCTGGACCTGCTGCTGGAAGCCGTGACACAGCGCGGGCACCGGCGCGCCCTGGCCCGCAGGGTCAGCCTGCTGCGGCCGCTGAGCCGGGTGGAAATCCTGCCGATGCCCTACGTTACCGAGGCCACCCGCGTGCAGCTGGTGCTGCCCCTCCTGGTGGCCGAGGCCGCCGCAGCCCCGGCTTTCCTCGAGGCTTTTGCCGCCAGCGTTCTGGAGCCCCGAGAGCACGCGCTGCTCACCCTGCTGCTGGTCTATGGGCCGCGGGAGGGTGGCCGAGGGGCCCTGGACCCGTTTCTGGGGGTGAAGTCTGCAGCGGCCGAGCTGGAGCGACGCTACCCTGGGACGAGGCTGGCCTGGCTCGCAGTGCGGGCCGACGCCCCTTCCCAGGTGCGGCTCATGGACGTGGTGTCTAAGAAGCACCCGGTAGACACGCTTTTCTTCCTCACCACCGTGTGGACCCGGCCGGGGGCGGAAGTGCTCAACCGCTGCCGCATGAATGCCATCTCCGGCTGGCAGGCCTTCTTCCCCGTTCACTTCCAGGAGTTCCACCCCGCCCTGGCACCGCAGAGGTCTCCCCCCGGGCCCCCGGGGCCCGGCCCCGACCCCCCATCCCCTCCGGGTGCTGACCCTGCCCGCGGGGCTCCCGGAGGAGGCCGGTTCGACCGCCACGCGTCCGCGGAGGGCTGCTTCTACAATGCCGACTACCTGGCGGCACGCGCCCGGCTGGCTGCTGAACTGGCAGGCCAGGAAGAGGAGGAAGCCCTGGAGGGGCTGGAGGTGATGGATGTGTTCCTCCGGTTCTCAGGGCTCCACCTCTTCCGGGCCGTGGAGCCAGGGCTGGTGCAGAAGTTCTCGCTGCGGGACTGCAGCCCCCGGCTCAGCGAGGAACTCTACCACCGCTGCCGCCTGAGCAACCTGGAGGGGCTGGCGGGCCGCGCACAGCTCGCCATGGCCCTGTTCGAGCAGGAGCAGGGCAACAGCACCTAGCGCCTGGGCGCGGCCCCCTTCCACCGTGCCCGGGGTGGGCAAGGCAAGATGGACGGACAGATGGAGAGCTTGTGGCTGTATTTTTTTTTTTTTTAATAAGAAAATGTGATTAAAAGTGTCTTCTGCCAAAGTGTTTTTAGGTCTAGGGAAATGGAGTCAGGAGGACACTGAGGGAGGGGCTGGGGAGCTTTTGGACCCACCGCCTCCCCTTTGCTCCTCTCTCCCAGTTGCCAATGACCACACAGCTGCTGTCAGATGAATGACCTTTAATCCAGTTCCCCGCCTCACCGGAAGGCAGGCAGGCCACAGAGGGGCGACGGCAGAGCCCCCGGGGACAGGGCAGCCTGGCCCGCGGCGCGCGTGCTTGCTCGCAGGGCTCCTAGGTGTTGCGCACCACCAGCGACTGCTCCAGCTCTTGCCTGCGCTGCTGGATCTGTAGAGAAATCGGAGCAGGGGCAGGGTTAAGGTGCTGCTGGTGAGTGACAATGCGGCCCCAACCACCCACGCCGGCCCCCAGGAGAGCCAGGGAGCAGGGGGGCTCCCACGAGGTGAGGGGCGGGGCGGAGCGGCCGGGCGCCCTCGAGGCTGAGGAGGGAGGTGTCTTGGAGTGAGGGGGTGGCCCGCGGTGCCTGGGCCCCTCCACACCTTGCAGTAGAAGTAGCGGCTGACGGCTTCCTGGGACCAGGGCTGGTGGTAGAACTCCGCCCGGCGCTCCTCCTCGGGGTTGCCGGCCACATCCGTCATCACCTGGGGGGGAGCAGAGGGGTCAGCCCTGAGCGCGGACCACCCCCAGCCCCTGTGTGCGACCTGTGCTGTCTTCCCCATATGCTTGTCTTCTATCCAGTGCTCCCCGAGTCCCCTTCACCTTGAGGTCCCGGCTCTGGGAGCAGAGCAGGTCTTGGATGTAGCCTTTGGGGTCTCTGGAGAAGCTTAGCATGAAGTCCCTCTGGATCTTGAGCTGGTTTATGGACTCAATCGTCTCGTGGATCTGCAGGTAGAAAGACAGACGCTCTCACCTGGCTGGGGCGATGTGGGAGAAGAGGGGAAGGAGGAGGGAGGCCCGTGGGGGAAGGGCCGCTGCTGTTCCCTTGAAGAACAGCCCCGGGGGCCCCGTTCCTCTGCGGTCCCAGGGAAGGGGGTACACGTGTCCTCCCTGTCTCCTGAGGCTCGTGCTCATGCCTGTCCTGTCTGCACTCTGTCATTTCCGGGCTAACGTCCCACTGCAACTCAGGGCCCTGGCCCCACCTTACTGTCCAGAGCGCTGATCTCCTGCTGGTTGGCCGTGGACAGGAGGAAGCTGCTCATCTGCCCCTTCAGCGGCTCCTCCACCTCCACATCAATGTCATAGCATGCCGTCTTCTTCTGGTCCGACGGGTCCACGCTGCCAGGAAGTCCAGCCCGTGGCGCTCACCTGCCCCCGCGGAGGCCAAGGGCCCCGGGGGGCAGAGGCAGTGGGGCAGGAAGGGGCACCAACGATTCCCTGGCCTGAGGACCGAGCCAGGGGCCTCACCTGATGACATGGTTGATGACAATGGGGTCCGGGGGCAGCAGCAGAGCCGTGAGGCGCTGGGGAATCTCAGAGAACTTCAGCCGGGGACAGTCGAAAATCTGAAGTGGGAGAGGTCATTCTTGTGCTTGAAAAGAGCATAACTACAGTCCCAGACCCTTCCGTCCTGGAAAGGCCGCAGGAAGCCAGGAGCGAGTCTAACTGCTCAGTGTTCACCGGGCTGGAACGGGGCGGGGGGAGCGGGGGCCCTGCGGTGGGTGTGGCGCAGCGCTTGACGGTGGGCCCTGGTCGGCCTGCCTCGGTGCCGCTCCTGCTCCCACCGCTTCCGACGCAGCCCGAGCAAGCTCGAGCAAGCTCCGTGGCGGCGCAGGCCTCAGCCGCTCCCCCTCGGAATGGGGCTAATGCTAGGACCCTCTGCCAGGATTGTGGCGGGAATCCAATGAGTCAGAACACAAAGCGCTTGGAACAGGGCTGCACGGCCTGTGCTCTGGGCTCAATAAACATCAACTCTTCTTTTCACTCCTCAGGTTTATCTGCTGTGTTTATTTGAACTTGATCAATAATCTCGACTTCAGTAGAACTTTCATCACGTCCCTGTCAGAGCAATTCGATCTTCCTAACTGCCCGGCAGCTTAGATGGCACAGATAAGGAACGAGGCTCAGAATGGCGAGGTCACTCACCCAGAGTCAGGGCCAGGACCAGAACCCAAGGGTCCCACCGCAAGTGCCAAGCATATTACATTCCCAAAAGCCTTGTAGGGTTCTGCACCGTCCTGCCCTGGGGCGGCCGAAATGCAGCCCAGAGCTGTGCCCCGGGAGAGCCTGGGCTGGGACCCCACTCTCTGGCTCCAGGACCGTGACTACAGTGTCTAAAGCCTGGGAATCTAGAAGGGGGGGCGGTGTTACCTTAGCGGAGGCACTTCCCCTACCGTTGGCTCTGCCTGCTCCCCATGTCCCCGTGCTCAGGGTACCTGCTGGAAGTATTTGTCCCCATTGATGTACTCCTTGTCGTGTGAGTCCTGCAGCCGGTTGGTCTTCACGTACTGCCACAGGGCCTGGACGATGGCTGAGCGGCTCTGGGTGTGCAGCCCCAGCAGGCGGGCCAGGCGGGGGTCCAGTTTGAACTGGGGGGGCTGGGGAAAGGGGACCATGAAAATTCAGGAGTGGAAAGAGCTCAAGCAGCTTGGGGCTGGGAAAGGGGGGTGGGAGATGCGGTGACTGGGCTTCTTGGAAAGGCGCTTCCGGAGAAGACAGAGGGGGCGGGGTCTCCTGGGGTGTGTGCCTTGGAGGCGTCTGCCCAGCCTAAGAGAGAGGGCGTGGGGGGCCCAGGCCCCCAAGGCACGCACCCCAGGAGACCCCGTGGTGGCGGCGCGGCGGGGGCTGGCACGGACCTGGTAGTCCAGCATGAGGAGCAGCGTGCAGCGCACGCTCAGGTCCCCCGGCCTCTTCACCTGGAACCCGTCTGTCTCCTGGGTGGTGGGCGTCCGGTGCCACTGTCCACGGGGAGAGAGCTGAGTCACGTCACAGGCCCTTCTGGGCTGGGAGGGCCTGGGGGTCTAGGGTGGTCCCCGATCCAAGTCTGTGCAGCGGATGGGCCTGCGGGACTCGGGCCTGCGGGAGGCTGGCAATCCCAGGGCAAGCGGGGTCCAAGCCTCACCTCAACTAGGTGGTTGTCAGGGCCGTAGAGGTCTTTGTCCAGCTCAATGACAAGACTCTTGAAGAAGGAAGAGAACTTTCGCTTCTGCTTGCTGGGCTGTGGGAGAGGAATAGGGACCGTGGGGGCAGAACAGGGACCGTGGGGGCAGAATGAGTCAGGAAGGGCAGGGCTGGTTGGGTAGGGCGGCAAGGTTAGAAGCAGGCCTCTGCACCCCGCTCTCTCTTGAGGCTACCCCCCAGCCAGGGCCGATCCCCCAACCCTCCGTGCAGACGTCTAGTTTGGTCCTCAGCCCAGCCCCGTACCCACCCCAGGACACTTGGAGAGACCTGGGCCAGGACGTACGTCATCCAGGAGCTTCCCCTCCACCCGCAGCTCCCAGGAGGCGATGCTGCCGTCAGAATCCTCCGCATCGGGCTTCGCAGGGTTAAAGGTATTGGAGATATAAAGACGCAGCTTCCGCTTTTGCTGTAGAAATAAGGAGCGTCCCACAGAGTGAGCACTGTGTGCCCCCCTCCTGGGCCACCCCGCTTCTCCATTCTGGGAACGGGGCGTAGAGCCCTCTTCCCGCCCCCAAACTGAGGCACCTTCATCGGCCTTTTCAGAGCCTCCTGGATGTCCACCCGCTTCCGCATGATGGTTTGATCCAGTTTCCTCTCAAACGCCAGGAGGTCCATGTAAGCCTGGGACTCGGGGACCAGCTCCCGGATCTGGAAGAGGAGGAGCAAGGCAGGGAACCAGGGGCTCAGCCAATCTTCTAGGTGGAATGTGTGTGTGTCATGTGACCCCAGGGTACACAGAGATGAAGGGGAGCTGGCTGGTTCTGGGACTTTGAGAGTGACAATGAAACCTCTCCCCAGGATTCCATATCCAGCAGTAGCGGCCTCATGTGTAGGGATAAAAATCGCTTCTCCCTCTAGGGAGACCCATGCATTTCATCACTAGGGGAGGCCGGAGCCCAGCAAACTCTCAGGCTTCATCTCCTCCTCTTGGTCTTCCTTTTGTCGGACAGCCACTGGGCTTTCTTGGGGTGTCTGCAAAGCGGCTAAGGCCTTGGGGTCCCTGAGACATGTAGGGGATGTGGTTGCTGGCCTCTCCCCTGGGTCCTCACCCAGCCACTCCAACTGATGTCTCAACCATGGTCCTACTCCCTACCCAGCTCCGCAGGTCTCGGGACGGCTGGAATTCAGTCCGCCACACCCCGGGCCCAGGATGCTCCCGACCGACCCTTTTTGATTCTGTTCCTTCCCTCTGCCCCACCCCCTCCTTCTGGCCTGGGGAGCCTCACTTCTTAATTAGCTTTTTAAAACAAAAAGTAAAAGTGACTGTGACCGCTAAAGCTCTGCTCCATAGGGGGGAGGGGAGACAAATGAGGTGGGAGGGGTGGAGGGTGAGGAGGTGGAACAGCAAGAGGTGGGGGCGAGCCGGGGGCTGCTGTGAAAGGCACTCACCCTTTGAGGGAGGATTTTGTCAGCCATCTTCCTCCTCTTGGCACTGTACATTTTTTAAAGAAAAAACCAGGTTACCATGGCGACAGATCTGGGAGTAACGAGGCCACCTGCTAAATTATCCCGACATCTCCGCCCGCCTGGCTGGGGTTCCCACAGCCCGCTCCTCTGCCCACCCAAGGGGCGAGGATGGTCGTGTGTGGCGTTGGTGCTCTGTCCCCTCCCGGGGAGCAGAGGAGACTGTCACGCCTCTGGCCTGAGAGCCCCCGCCTGCCCCATCACATCCTCAGGGCCAGGCAAATGTAGACTTAGGAGGGGCTGGAGGGGGGGGCCTGCAGAAGTGTTTGGGGGAACTGGGGAAGGAGGGAGGACAGGGAGAGCGCGGACGGGTCTGATGGCTCCCCTGTGCTGCCAGGCTGGGGTGCGCGGTCCAAGGGAGGGGATCCGGCCCCCTGACCCCAATCCCTGGAACAGGTGATGGCATGAAGCCAGTGAGGACCAGGATGGCACCCCTGCCACCCTGGGCTTGAAAGGAGCTGCTGACAGGCAGACAGTCCT